CCCCGGTCATCAGCACACAGCCCCTCTCCCTCTCTGGGTCTAAAGTCCCCAGCTGCTCCATCTCTCCACGTCATGGTCTCTGCCTCTCATTGGCTTATTTTTGCAGGACTTTTTCCTTATGTTTATTTTAGTCAGAAAGTTCCACTGAAACCCACTTGGCATCATAGTAACATAGCAAGGCTGCACTGACAGCACGATTGGTAACTGTATTTAGAGACTGGGAACTTGAGTATTTGACTCATCATATGAGCCCATTTCGGAAGTGGTAACAGACTGCGTTGTGTAGTGCATTTTCTGTTTTTATCTTTTTACTGCTGTTTTACAGACCCATTTAGAGTGGAACATTGATTTTTAAAAATTATTGTCCGTTCTAGCACAATGATTCTCTACATTGTGCTACACTCTATTCTGTGTACCACATTCCCATTGGATACATACCGCATCACACCTGCTGCAACTTTTTTAAAAAAACTTTTTATTGTGACTTGAGTGGAGGTTTACAGACAAGATCATCAGCTTCACATTCAACAAATCACGCACTGTGTTTCATTTCAATGTTATAATCCCCTCCCTGCAATAACAGTCATCTTGTTTCCTCCCTGTTGTTCCCCATTTATTGTTGTTGTTAAGTACCATGGAGGAGGTTCCGACTCATAGTGACCCTGCACAGGGTTTCTGAGGCTATAAATCTTTATTGGAGCAGAAAGCCTCATCTTTCTCCCGCTGAACACCTGGTAGTTTCAAACTGCCGACCTTGAGGATAGCAGCCCGATTCTTAACCACTACGCTACCAGATTTCCTTTTTTCACATCTTGTATTTCACAAATGTACAAAGCAAAAATATTTGCACACATACAAAACAAAAAATATATATTCAATTAAATGGCCAAAGGGCATATTCTGTAAGTCAGCTTCTCCTGCCCACAGGTACACAGCCTTCCTCAGTCCTGGGGCCTAGAGCCTGCCCTGCTGCAATTCTTAATGAGGGGAGAATGGGTGTACTTTTCTGAAGGAGGATGTATGCTGACAGGTTACCATACTTTTTGATTTGAGAAAGCATTCCTCCTTTATTGAGAATCCATCTGACACTATGCCTGAAACGCATCGAGGGGATTAGTACTTTAGCTTGGGAGAGCTGTTTGGATTTGTGGAGAGATTTGCCCTATGCTAATAGAGACATAAGTTCATTATAAATGGAGTGACTGACCATTATATTTCTGTCCAGTGACCTATTTTCTAAACTCAGGCTTTTTCTAACTCATTGGTGTCGTGGAGAGGCCTGTTACCTGGATGGGGTTGGCATGGTGGGCTGGTATCTGTGCAAACTGATGTCTCTATCAGAAGATAGAGAAGTTGTACCTTCAGTTGTACCTGTCCTGAAGGGAGTTAGGGTAAAGCGTAATGGAAACAGCATTGGGCATGGAATTAGAAGCTCCTTGTCCACTATGTGGCTGCTTAACCCTCCTGTTTTGGCTTCAGTTTCTTAATGAGTGAAAGAGGGGCCTGGATCACCACTATATGTGGTCTGTGGTCTCGTCCTGCTCTAGAATTGGGGCGGGGGTGGTGGTGAGGCTTTCAGCTTCGGAAACCCTGTACAGGGTCTCTATGAGTTGGAACTGACTCCATGGCACATAACAATAACAACAACAAAAGAAGTTATGTTCAAGCTGTGGATTGATGGGGGCGGGGGTTGTAGATGGCTAGAGGAGACATTTGCAGGACCAGTGTGTGCCTGATTTGTTTTATTCCTAGAATTCTAGAATCCAATTTGGGTTTGGGAAGTTAGGAGTATTTTAGCAAAATTGACCTGAGAAGCAGAATCAAACTGGAGCAGTATAATTGTTCACACATTCAGGCACAGCCTCCTCCCTCCCCCCCAGTAAAATATGAATCTGTCTGTTGTAAGGAAGCATAGTGTTCATTGCTGTGGATTTTTGATTGCAGTGGTTGCCACCAGTCAGCTAAAGAGACTCTTTTCCTGGAGTAGTTGTAGTAATAATGTCAAGAATATGGCGAAAGCTGGCACCTTTGGGAAGACCTACTGATACGTGTGGTCCCCCCCCCCTCCGTGTTTTTAACCTGCTTGGTTAATGATTGCACCTAATTATGTATCTTTGGTCTTTTTCCTGTGTACAATTCAAATGCTACTTAAAGCCGTTTGTTTGCTTTTGTGTGCTGTAAATCCTGGGCTGTCATCTGAAGCACAACTTGATGATTGTGTATTATCATCTTGGGTTAAGTGCTGTCTCATTGCTTTGCAGGCTGCCTGCTGTTTCCCGGGGAGATCATGAAACGAGGTCGCCTTCCCAGCAGCAGTGAGGATTCTGACGACAATGGCAGTAAGTCCTGCTTTGTTGTGCTTGGAGCCGACCAGGGTTTGGGTCAGTGTAAAAACATGATTTTTTTGATGTAATGTTTTAAGTAACCAAGTCTATTTGCATATCAGGCAGGTCAGAGAAAACCTAGGCCGGCAGAAACACATTTGAGTGTGAGACTGCAGGTCCTTAACCAGATCTTTCCCGGGAAGGTTGACTGCAGGCAAGCATGCCCAAGGGTTCCTGTTTGCTATCCACAGCTGAGCAACGCAGTTCCTAGAGTCACGGGGGTCCCTGTTTTTCTTAAATATCATTTATGGTACTTCACGGTTGCTCTCTATGGAAAGGGAACTGAATCAAAGCCAGTTAATTATTAACTAGTTCAACTCGATACACTGGGGGGGGGGGGGGGGGTGGGGTGGGGGGAGAAGGTTGCCTAGTATGATGTGAAAATATTAAGTACAGATTTTTAATAGGTCGTGAGTCAGTGCGCTTGATTTTAACATGACTGCATTTAATATTACTACTGTCTGCATCTCAGCTCTCTGGCAACCTCATATTTTCACAGTGCAGCTGAGAACCAGAAGTTAGTTGGCTCCCAAGCAGTCAAAATAAATGTCACAGCGTCTGTGTATTGAGACGCTCACAGACTACTCAGAGAAGCGTTTTCCTTGGATGTTGTTGTTGTTAAGTGCCGTCAAATTGATTCCAACTCAAAGCAATCCTGTGTAGGATTTCTGAGGAGCTGCTGGTGGATTTGAACCGCCTACCTTGCTTGCGCTTATCCTACAGCTCCACACCAGGACTCTGTTCCCTCGAATAACAGAAGGGGATTTTATACCTAGTACAGTGTCTGAGCGCCAGCTCCTTAGCTTCTGTTACACATTACAAATCAAATTCAGGAGGAAAGCAACTGGGCCTGCTTTCAAGGAACACATCTCAGAGTCATCAAGGTGGTGGCAGAGATGTCTTTTAGAAGTTCTGTGGAAATGTATTCAAACCACACCAAACCCACTGTGTTGAGTCAGTTCTCACTGTAGCAACCCTATAAGACAGAATAGAACTGCCCTTAGGGCTTCTGAGACAGTAAATCTTTACCATAGCTGACAGCCTTATCGTTCTCCTGAGGAGTGTGTCGTGGATTTGAACCGCTGACTCTGTGGTTAGCAGCCCTTATCCCGCAACATCCCGTAACGCTTATCCCGCAACATCACTAGGGTTCTTTAGGAGGGGACCCGAAACATGAAAAACTCAACAACTAAAACATGGCATGGTGGTTGGTACTTTGGATACAATTGTGGAGCAGTGGGAAATAAAATAGGTGGTTAGGGAAGGGGAGTTGAGTCTGGTGTTTGGGGGTGCATTTGAAGGTAAGCTTTGTGGCCAGAGTGTGATGAAGGCTTGGAATGTAGAGCTAAGGGATTGGGGTTTTTTGGGCAGGCAGTGGGAGCCACTGATGCTGGCCACAGGGTAGGAGAGACACAGGGTAGGGGCTCCTGAGGGCAGAGTTTTCCTTTTCTTTCCTGGAGAGGCTCTGATGATATGTGCAGCCAGTGCACACTACCTCTCCAAGCCTTCTGGAGCACCTTCTTCTGTATTTTAGTAGCATGTGCTATTTCACCACCCTTACTGATGTTGTTAAGTGCCATGAAGCCAATTCTGACTCATGGTAACAGTATAGGGTTTCCAAGGAGTGGCTGATGTGGGTAAGCAGTTCAATGCTGACCCTACAGTGCTGTACCAGGAGTCACAACCCTTAGAAACGGCTTTCTCTTAATGTTTACGTTTTTAGACATTTTACTTTTTGAGGCAAAGGCATGCTTTGGCATTTCTTCTCTGCTCCCTATGGTGCCTATCAAATTGTCCTGTTGAGTTATAAGTAATAAATGCATACTTCTTGCTTAAATATAGATTGGTCCTATGACAATTAAAATTTAAAAGTTGCTTTTTATTTATTCAGAATGAATCACAAGAAAGTTTCATGAATTACCTACACATACTAAGATTGTCCAGTACAAGGCTAGGATACCTCTGTCATTTAGATATGTGTTTTTTATATGCTGTTGAGTTGGTTTCAACACACTTGCGACCCTATGTGGGGTGTCCCAAGGAGCGACTGGTGGGTTTGAACCTCCAGCCTTTTGGTTAGCAGCCCGGTGTTTATCTTACAGCGCCATACCAACCAGGACTCCATCATTTATATACACATAATCTTTTTTCTATTTTTTTTTTCTATTGAGAAGCAGGTTTATTCTTACTTTTTTTGCTCTCATTATGACGTCAGTTTTCCCCTTGGGAGAGTTGGGCTTGAAAATGTTCTTTTGGCGTATTCTTTCATTCCTAGAGTTAACTTTCTGGACCAGCACTGTGAAGTAGAACAGAAATATTCTATATCTGCTAGTGTGACTACAGAAATGGCTTTTTAATTTAATTAATTAACAACATGTGACTAATGGCTATTGTATTGAACCCTAGCCAGTTGAGTCTCTCTTAGTTGTTCAGAGGCCCCAGAAGACCAAATGTTTCATCTAAAAACACATTGTTCCTCAGAACTTTGTTTAGAGAGGAAGGAGGAACAGAAGCCACCAAAGTCCTCACTAAAAGCGTATCCGTCAAAAGACACCTTATTATACACCTTCTGTCTCTGTGATGAACCATTTTCTTCCTCCTCCTAATATGTTCCTGTCTATGCCCACATCCCAGTTGGGAGTGGGGTTAAGGCAAATGTTTATTGAATGATGGGGAGTTACCTTTGATAGGCTGTGAAACCCGACTTCATCATAGCTCTTTCTAGACATGGAACTCTGATGATGGTGGTAGATGAGTGATGGATGCTGGTACATGCTAGGCTCTTCTTGGTCATATAGTTGGTTCAGTGTAAAGCATATGTTGATGCTTGCTGGCTGTGCCTTGTTGGTCTAGGCTTAATTATTTGGCAATTACGGTGGGTGATGAAAGTGGTAGACTCTCAAGAGCCCCTGGAATTCCAGGCCTTATAAAAATATGCACTTGTTCATGTCACAGAACACGCCCTTTTCCACTCTCTATTAGAGCAACTGGTTTGCAGTATAGGCCTCTTCCAACCTCCCTATTTGAGTTGGAACTAGCTAAAGGCCCCTGGTGGTCTGGAGTGAGGTGTCGGGTCTTCTATCCTGCAGCGTTGTCCACAGAAGTGAGCCCTAACCTCTAGAAGCTTGCCACACCCTGCCCTCCCTTAAGCCAGTTCTGGGCACTCAGAAAGCCCTGCTTTCAAGAAGAACTGGGTGTGTGCAGTGGCCACTTCCCAACCTCTCCAGTCTGACAGAATTTTGGCAGCAGCTCCCAGCCCAACACAGAACACCTCCAAGTGGAGGAGAGGCAGCTGCAGACGTCATTATGGGGCCACAGCACCAGCCTCAACCAGGCCCGGGTGGCCTCTGGGTTGGAGCCCTTTCCTTTGTTTTCCCGCCTGGCCAAGGGGAATACCAGTGTGGTATTTACAGTAAGGTACAGGATGAGAGTTTTCTGTGCTAGGTGCAAGCCCTCATCAAGCTGCACATGTCATGGTTGAAGCCTCCTCCAGGTACCCTGAGGGCCGGCCCTACAGTCAGATGGTGTAGCGTTTGCAAGCTGTGCTCCCTAATTGCTGGGCTCCCAGGACTGGGTGGCCCAGCCAGTCTGTGAAGTGACACAGTGGGTCAGGGTGTGGCTCAGGGAAACAAACCCCTGATCTTCCTGCTTACCAAACCAAGATCCTCTCTCTGTCTTAGAGGTTTCAGCAAATGTAGAACTGGGGTCCTCCAGTCAGTGTTTTCAAAACCTCAAGGGAAGTTGCATTTTACCATCAATAAAGCTGCAGAGGCTAATTAAAGGATCAAGTATCCTTGCATTGTTGTTGTTAATGTGCCATGGAGTCGGTTCTGACTCAGAGCGACCCTGCACCGGATTTCCGAGGCTGTAAATCTTTATGGGAGCAGAAAGCCTCATCTTTTCTCCTGCGGAACAGCTGGTAGTTTCTAACTGCTGACCTTGAGGTTTGCAGCCCAATTCGTAACCACTACACTACCAGAGTTCCTTGCATTAGGTAGGTATTATATATTATTGGTAATCTCAGGCTAATTCGTAGCTCTAATCAGTGTTCTTATTTCATTTTCCTATAGAAATAAGCCAAGAATTAAATAGTTTGTAGTGAATACTGTTCAGCTGACAAGTTTTTTTTAAAAAAAAAATACAACAAAAAAACAAAAACAAGGAGGATTTTGCCTAGGGCAGGTACAGAGGAGAGGGAATGTTTTGTAAAGGTTGGTTTTATTTGTTTTGCTTGTTTTTAAATGTGGTGCCTATTGAAGATTCTGAGGGAAATTGATTCCTTTACACATAGAATGACAGAAGTATACTGATACTTGAAAGTTTTTCCTGAAGTTGTGAAACAAGGTTTCCTTTTCCTGTCAACTTTCCTAAATTTCAGGGCTGTGCTGGCTGGCCTCCCTGTGGAAAGAAAGTCTGGGATGCTGGAGGGACTGGAGCTAGACACTGTGTGGGGGCCTCTGTGGGCTTCCTTTCTCCACACTGTGCTGGGCCTGGGAACACTGCAGTCTCCCCCACTATCCATGCTTGGATCTGCTCCATCATCTCTGATGCCGAGGGAAATTCTAATTTCCTAATTTTGCAGCTTGGTAATTAATCCAGGTCAGTGAGTGGCAACTCTAAAGTTTGTGGATTATGCCATAACATGTTTTTCTAGGCTCTGTCTGCTTTATTGACAGACATTTTTATTAACAATGAAAAGAGACCAGCATTTCTGTGGATGAAACACTCATTCTACTTTGAGTGCCTTTATGCCTCACTACAGTTAACTGGCTCCTTTTGGTAGCTTGCTTTCCTTCTCTGTGTCCCATTGCCAAGCTCTGTTTTCTTAATGCAAGCCTTTGGTGGTTTCTCTTGCAGAAAAGTGAACCCCGCCTTAAGTTCTATTCGTGTTTTGCTGTACCTGTAATTTGCCTCTTTCACCAGTCAGCTCCATCTCATGACACCAAAGAATTGGG